ATTTACACTTTGAAAAATCAGTCTTTTACTTACTGGTCTAAAATTATACCCTCAATTCTTATAACCTTGATCACTATGCCAGTAGTCAAACGCATTCATTGTTTGTTATAAACAATTTCTGATATTTTTTAAAACATGGGATTTTTTAACAATCAATTACTACTGATAAATAAACTGAATATTTCAGTTCTTCGTAGATTTTATTCAAGGTTAAATTGTTTTCGTCGAAGAACAATAGATATGTTGTTTAAAAGCTCTAATTGAATATCAGAATAAAGAATACCAAATATTTCCAGAAAATATATTTGCTCATTCATGTCCTGAAAATTTCACTATTTTGCTTGACGTTTATTTGCCTCCTACTCGCAAAGATTACAAGGCAATTTCGAAAGTTGTGTGATTTATTCAGTTTCAAATTGGTTGAGATTTTCGTTTCGTTTTCATGCAATCCCAACAACTTAAAAAGTATGGTGAGTTTATTTCCATATTCAGACAAAATCTTCTTCCGAAGAAAAATCTTCCTTTCAATTCTCACCCATCATGGAAGAGGTTTTCTTTCAAAGAAGAAAAAATATCTCGATTTGGAGAACTATTTTCTTCGAAGAAAAAGGATTTATCACCACACAAGTTATCTGGCGTATTATTTTACTTTTTCCACCAAACGTCTTTACTCGATATCTTACAAAAAAGGCAGAAGAAAGAAATGATTCAATCTTCTTGAAATTGAAAACTATTATTTATTTCTGTATTTTGCTGTTTGCTAAAGAATGAAAACCTTTGATTCGAAATATTCAAAGAATGGTTTTTAACTCATAATCACTGAAAACCATTGTTTTTCAGTTGTAGAATTTACAAATAAAGTTATCATGTGTGCTTTCTCGATAAGAGAAGTTATATATAACTTTTCATAAACTTTTATGTAACTGGACTTGTTGAAACATAAAATGTTTGTAAATATGAACTATTGTAATCGATTTTTCTCTCACTTCGATTAGAGATTGAAATTTTCAACACTTGTGTTTCCCTAATGACAATACACTATTTTAATATTTACAATAATGGATTATAAATCAAAGACTAAAAAGTAGAAAATAATTAAAATAAAAAATTCTACTTTGTAGTCCACTAATAAAAGTTTGTTTTTATTAAACATCGGCTGTTAGATACGCATTCTTTATAAGAATTTCTAATTCTAGACATCCTTCCTGTATGTATGGTCATAGGTAATGAGACTGAGAGCAGTTTGTGAGAATAAGACACTGTGCTTGTACGAGAGTTGTTCGATAAATCCTTGCAAAGTCTAAGAGATGGCACCCTGGACCGTACTGAGAACATATTTAGTTATAGGTAACACTTGAAAGGTATGAAATAAAGTTTCATTCAGATATATTAATTAGGCCGTATTTGGCGTTCATTTGAATCCGTTAAGTACCATAAATTCTGGAAGACAGATTGAGAAAGAATTTCTTCCAGTGATGAAATATTATTTTCTGAAAGGGAAAATAGCCCAGGAAACCAAAGCATAGCTTGTTATACATTATGGTGATTCTGCACATTCGATTAGAGCACTTTATAAGTGGCCTGGTAACTTTCGAAGTGGCCATATGAGCACACATCGCGATGAGCATCCAGAACGTCCTGTTGAGGTTACTACTCTCAGGAAATTGTTGAAAAAATTCCATGACGTAGTAATAAATGACTGAATGGTGAAGGTGCGTGAAATTTCTAAGACTACGAGCACCTAATGACCGTGTAATTAATATTTTGCACTCACCTTTACACATGAGATGTCTTTCCGCAAGATGCGTGCCGAGATTCCTAACACGGGATTAAAGAAGTGTTTCCAGGAAAGTTTGAAAATGTCTCAGCGGAATCCAGAGGAATTTTTGTGTCTTCTTTTAATAGTGTATGAAACTTGGAATCCTCCTTATCAGCCTCAGACAAAGGAACAGTCAAAACAATGGTTTGCAAGCAAGGATTATGTCTCAGAAAAATAGGAAATAGTGCCTTCAGATGATTTTAAGCTGTTCCAAAAATCAATTTTATTTCCGAAAATTATCGATAAAAAATGCTAAACATTGGCTAAATTTTTAATTAATCAAAGTTTGGATTAAAATTTCAAAACATTGCTCCGAGATGCATATTCTCTCCTTCCAAAGTATTTTATACCAAATTTGATAGCTCTCCGTCCAACGGTCTGTCCGGTAGAGCGCCAACAGACATACCATCAATCGCTTTTATTATTAGACATAATAGTAAAACTAATATAACGGATTTTTTAGTTTTTAATGCTATGTTATTTTTATGCTTAAGTTTCGTATTCGAAGATAATAATACCATAAAAGAAATAATAATAACATAAAGATAATAATAACATAAAAATAATAATAACATAAAAGAAATAATAATAACATAAAGATAATAATAATATAAAAATATTTTAAGCGCAGTCCTTTGAAATGCAATTAAGGGCTTAATTTTAATCTATTAAACAATGCTAATATAGAGCCGTTTCGCAATTATCTATTCTGTAATTTTCAAACATGTACGTGCTTTAAAAATTATCATTAGAGAATCATTTGTAGTTCTCCATTTTGCTATCTTTTATATTTAAATTTCACATTATTGTTATAATACCGACCACTGATATTTA